AAAACACACACAGACACACACACACACAGACAACCTCTCGTCAATACGCGTTTTTCGCATTGCATTGCTGCAAAAAACGCATAAAAAACACTGCACCATCAGGCTTTTCTGTTAACGCCCTTTTTTAACTGAGACCAGTAGAAATTCGTACTTCATACCAGTGTGGAAGAAAAAGCCCTCGAAAGCACCTTATATGGCATGAAAGTGGAGGTTTTTATGCACTAACCCAACAGCAGCTATTTGCTGCTAAGGCCGCTGATTGTCTCGTCTGCGATGGTTACTTGAGCAGTGAGCTGAATATGCTTTTACTGCCCGTTATGCTAAGCACCACTCTAGGCAATAAGCAAAAGAATCGCAGCAGAAATGGTTAGCGAATTCGAACCAACTGCCTAAGGCACTCATAATTTATACCAAACCCGTCAGTAACTGAGGATTTAGAAAGAAGACAGAGGCACTATTCAGGATAAGATACGTACCATGATGGCTGCAGAGCCGAAAAAGGACATGAAAGCACGGGCACCGACTGTCAGATTGGACGACACGGATTGTCCTACAATCAGCGCATCGGTCGAAAGACGGCTCACAATCTCACCGACCTTGTTCGTACTAAAGAAATTCATATCCTGACTGATAACCGAGTTGAAAACCGATCGTCTCAGGTTATTGATGACAAGCTGACCTGAAAACACACCGTTAAAATGGGAATTGCAGGAAGAATCGCTATTCTGAAAAATGCTCGATTTGTCGCTCTGCGCTTTCAGTGCAGCTGGCGATTCTCCTGCTGTTGCTCGAGTCGAAGCTGCACAACTTGCTGGTGTGCTGAAGCGCGTTCCCTGCATTCGTTTGTTCTTCCAAACAATGTGTTAAATAATTTATCGTATTCACTTTGTCTTCCTTGAACTCATCTACAAATGCTGTCTCGTATGAGCAAATGAAGATGTGCTGCTATGAGCTTACAGCACAGGAATTCGTCCTCCAAGTGCACACAACTTATACTAGGAAGCGACAAATGGAATTCGGTTGAAGATATTAACTGTACGCCAGAACCAGGGAAGCTAAAAAATGGCAGCACAGTGTGTTTAAGTTTGCATGCTCAGAAAATAAGTGTAGTACTTTCTAAAAGCGCTGACGAGTAAGTGTCGCATGATGTGCTTGCACGAACAAACAGCAAGGCTGTTCAGAAGGAATCGCAAATCTCGAAGAACCAGGCTTTTTTATTTGTTAATAAGATTATTTCTCCCCAGAAATTTGTCTAGATCTGAAAAAAAAAAAAAAACATTTAGGCGTTCGAGTGGCACTAAATTCGGCAGTGACGCGCTGGCAACTAGTCCGGTGAACTTCGACCTATGTATGTGTGTGCATACCGAAGGACTATAGAACCGAGACGTATAAAAGAGCTCCACCCGACGCATCGGAGCAGAGCAGTAACATCGCTAACAGAAAATCGAATCCCCTCAGTAAGGGTACTGGGGTTCTGAAGATATTTGAAACAAACATTTTTTAGAAAACACCAATGCGTGTGTGTGTGTGTGTGTAAAATGTGGTTTGTAAGATCGAAATAAAACGAGCCGCTACTTATTCTGGATAAATGTAATACAGCGTAGCATCAATTTACTAGCTGTTTCAACGTTATGTTCGGGATAGAATGACACAAATAATATGCCAAATCCAGAAATCCCCAGAGAGCAAAGAAACTGCTTTTTGCTTTCGCGATGTAAGACGAGGAATGTTCGCAAAGATGGCGTCAGGTTAGTTTAAAAATGGATTCTTGATTAGCTGTGATTTCATCGTGGCATGTGCTGGAGCCACTGAAGCAGTAGGAGTGCTGAGGTACCTGCAGTATGCATGCAGTAATGCCGAATACCATAGGAAGCAGCAACGATGAAGAAGAGGGTGAACATCACCATGTTATGCAGCTTCAGATACTGCGCAGCAATCACAAGATATTTATCCTTATCAGGCATTTTAGTCTCATTTCCGTTATTGATATCGATGAACATGAAGATAATTCGTGGAAGAACCAGCCCAATTGTATTGCCAACCACCAAAAAAAACAAACCAGCTAAAAACAGAATAAAGGCACAACTTCCATAACAAGAAAAAGGGATGAAAAATGGAAGTGTTACTGAAACCGCAGAACACATATCCCAAAATATCTGATCAGCTGATACCACAGCATATCGCATAAACCGCGCCGTTTTCACATGAAATTTATTGCGAACATGGTGCTAATTTGCGCACGATACATCGGTGTTTCTAGCTGAGAAGCATTAGTGCTGGAAGTTTCCGGTGAACTGATGTTATAAAGCCGTCTTTTATCAGAAATCTCATGCTGATTTATTGAAAGACCCAGTGAGAGACGCAAAACGAGAGCTTCCATCCTATGTTCTCTTGATGCACTACAGACGAAAAAACTTCAAAATACGAAATGCTCCAGAGACTTATTCGCATTTTCCGAGGAAAACGTTTTTTTTTTTTTTTTTTTTAATGGAAAACTAATATAAATTTGGAAAACACAAACTTTTGAATGCTTTTAAAGAGGGAAAAAAAAAACAAAGACAAGAATGATGCGTGACAGACAGCGCAAGAATTCATTACAGAAGCAAGTTATCTAGTTGGCAAATGGTCGGATGACAGAGCCTTTTAACAGCTGTTGATTTTAAACGAAAATTTCAGGATCAAAAAGCTTCATTCTGGAGTTAGATTAAATTTGGGCCTGAAATCACATGTGATGAAGGAGTGGGCTCTGAATGCTGATTACAAATTTTTTAGCCAATTGAATATAAACAAATTAAAAGCAAATAACTAAGTTCGTAGCCTGATTGGTCCCGGATTTTTTACATAATTTTGATGTTATACATAAGGCTATAGGTATGGCAAATCTTGAAATGCCAGTAACAAGTCTTTTGCTTTATGCTGCGCCCTAAACTGAAGCGCTGAAATTTCGAATTGTTAGTTTCCTCCACCCTCAACACATAAAATTTTTTTCAATTTGGACCTAAATTCAGGGTCGAGAAAAACAGGTCAGAAAACTAAGTTCAGATCCATACAAGACCAAGTTTCTCAAAATTTTAGTTTCTTGGCTTTCGCAATTTTGGGTTCACACACACATACATCCACTACCCATAATGAGCGTTGTTGACTGATGCAAAAAGCAGATGAGAAATATTTCAGAAGCTAATTCAAGGACTAACTATATATTCGCTTCCTGTAGGGATAGGCAAGCGCGAATATTTGCCGCAGATCTTTCCATTTAACATTCCGAATCTTCGCCGGTTCTCTTTTGGCTGCTTTCGACAGCTGAAATTTTGCTGTATCCCTCTGTATTATCAGTTATTTCAAACTGCACAAAGGTCCTATCTCAAGCGTATCCCGGTAATGGGAACCTGCATATTACGGATATTTTTTCGAAATAATTTTCAATTGCAATTCCCTCAAAAACACTCATTCTCCATGCAGTGCGATGCATTATACAACAAAAAACACATTTTTTTTCTTTCAGAAATTTACATAAAAGCCCTCTCCCTCCTCCGCCCGCCTTCTCGAGTTCCCTTTCTTTTTTTTTTTTTAAATTTTCCAGAAATTATCATTTTGCCAATTATGGATCTCGTTACGCACATCATTCAAAGCTGTGGGAAGCCTGCAACTTGCACGGTATGTTTTTTTTTTTTTTTTCCGTGACAATCACATCATTTGAGCCGGTTTTATGGATGTGGGGATGGCGCGCAGCGTATCGAAGCCGGCTTACAGCTGCTAGCAATAGAAATAGAAAAATATTTTGATGCTGGAAGAAGACAAAGCAAATAATATTAAAAAATTAGTAAAAGTTGTAAAATCGCGTAAAATATATTGTAATCGG